TGACAGACACAACAGACACAGATCAATAACACTGAGCGCACACACACTATAGCATATACACACCATGTGTGCAGCACTATTAATGAGTAATGTTATGAGTAATGTAAATGAAATAATGTGGCTTTAATTCATTTCATTAATTAGTAATTAATCCTTCAAATAATTCAGCAAGTACACGTGCAAACCAAATCAACACCAATATTTAGTTTAAAAACACTTTTCAGCTGTTATTATTCACATGCTCTTATAGTACAGCGTACAGTATATGCCATGTCTAAACTTCATGAATATTAATTAATTAAAACACACACACACACACACACACACAAACACTATACAGACCCTAATAATATCATTTATCCATGCTCCTTTTTGAGTCACAATATTATTAACACAGCTTCGTCTGTTGATGTACCGTTTTGCAAAACACATCCACAATGTCACTTTTAATTCAACCAGCAAAATCATGGAGGTGCTAAATAAACTAGATTCTGAAACGCTGATCTCGAAATGCATCTGCTCATTTATTTTGCATCTGTGCTTATTATCAATCAGATAAGAGACTTTTTCATTTCAAAAATAATCATTTCTTAATAAATGGTGTACATCCTCAGTCAATCCACAATAACTTAGATGCTGCATTTTATTGATTACTTTATTCAAATATTGGGAATTTACATGAGTACATTTAAATCAATAACATCAACAGAAAAAAGAATCATATTGGGGCGCCGCTGCTTTTAGATGAAGCACAAATGAACAGCGACAGGAGTCTCCATAGACTGACAGAAGCATGAAGCACACACCTGACCAGCACTCACAACACACACACACTGTCACATCTGTCACTATGTAGCTCCGCCCTCTTTTTAAATCTCATTTGAATTTAAAGCGACAGTCACCACTATTAGAATCAAAGCCTGAAAGGGTCAGAGAGTCAGAGAACATCACAGCTCAAACACACACACACACACACACACACACTCTCATGATGGTCACATTGGAAGTTACCTAGTGTCCGCATGCATTAGGGCAGACTTCATAACTGAAATGAAATGCTCTGTTCTCAGATTGCTGATGTATAACTGGTTAACGTGGCAGTGGACGGGTTATAGAGACCAAAACACTTCTGACACGGCTCACACATCCTCAAAGCAGAATAACCGATTCACTTTAGAAAAGCTTTGCAGATAAACACACACGTTCACTGAGCACGTTTCTGACACATCTGCTAATATTTTTTAGTATTTTTATAATTCATTAGAGTCAAAAACTGACACTAAGCACCTTTAAGACTTTCTCCTAAACTAAGTCGTGAGCTACTTTAAGCCTTCAGATGTTCTCTGAGCACTTTAAAATGCAGCAAAACAGAGAAGTGCACAGAAACTGCTGGAAAGAGCGGAAATCATTCAAACCATCAGTGCAGGGGAAGAAGAGCAGGTTAACGAGGGTCAGATTGAGGAGACTGATCACACACACACACACACACACACACACACACACACACACACACACACACACGCTCTGAACCCATGCAGACTTCAGTCAATCCGAGGCTCCTGGACGTCTGAATTATGCAGCACTTTAATTAAAACACTCATTAATCTGACACCAGTCGCCTAGCATCCGTTTAATCACATGACCATATGACACGAGGAAGAGGCGGAGCTCCAAAGAAATATGACATACAGAAATTCAAGTGGACAGACTAACTGCATTAAAAACAGAGCTGGACATAGACTGATCAAGGATATTAAAATATCATTGTTCCAATATATAACTGGTAATAGTTGTCGGTTCATTCTGCTGTGGCGACCGCTGATTAACAAAGGGACTAATCCGGAAAGAAAATGAATGAATAATAATAATATAGAGGTGTCGCAGTGTGGCCTTACAGCAAGACGGTCTCTGGTTCATTCTCCTTCAGCGTAGTCCCGTTATTAATCAGGGGTCGCCACAGCGGAATGAACCAACAACTTATCCTGCACATGTTTTACATAGTGGATGCCCTTCCAGCTGCAACCCAGTACTGGGAAACACACACACACACACACACACACACACACACACACACACACACACACACACACACACAAACACTAAGGCCAGTGTAGTTGATCAGTTCCCCTATAGCGCCTGTGTTTGGACTGAAACCGGAGCACCCGGAGGAAACCCACGCGAACACGGGGAGAAACATTAAAACTCCACACAGAAACACCAACTGACCCAGCTGAGGCTCGAACCATCAACCTTCTTGCTGTGAGGTGACAGTGCTACCCACTGTGCTGCCCCCTTTCAAGACTTTTTCAGTTAATTTTATGCATTTGGCATTGTCTAATTTCAGAGCAATTGTCTGCTTTCTCTGAGCTTTTCGGCATCGCCTTTCCTTTTTTACGGTCCATCTCTCACAATTAGCTTGTTTTGCACTTACTGTTTGACATTCTTGCCAGATTACGCCCATGTAATCACCTCTGATTGGGTTGGACCATCTCGAAAACAGCCGGCCATTGCGGATTGGGCCAATGCTTAACATTTATATTATTATTACAGTTAACATCATCATCATAGTATTCAAATCTTGTAAGAGATAAAAGCTGCCTGCATGTGAAACATTACATATAAAAATGTAAAAAATAGCTGACCGGCCCACATTTAAAAAATGGTCCAGCCCTTCTGGCATTTGCCAGAATAGCAAGATGGCCAGTCCACCCTTGCCCAGCAGCAGGGTTAAAAACAACCCAATTTGGGTAGTTTTTAACCCGGTGTTTTTAGAGTGTTGGGTTAAAATAGCAGATATTTAGGGAGGTGCATTAATAAACTATATTTGGGTTATATGTTGGGGT